GGCTTGGGGAACAGACAGGCATTCAGAGTTGCTGGACTGCAACAGAGAGAGAGGCTGGAGAGAGGGTCAGACGGGCCATGTGAGTTCCAGAGTACAGGAGGCTTTCGATCAGAACCATGGTTGGGGGCTTCCTGAAAGCTGCCTGCACAAGCCTGTGCCCCCTCCCCACCCCTCCACTTCCTCAGGACAGCTCTGGGGTCTCGGCAGGTGGTCCGAAACATGAGCTCCGAGTTCTTTGCTGCCCAACTCCGGGGCAAGATCTCAGATGACACCACTCACCCAGCCTCCTACTATGAGCCTGAGTTCTACATCCCAGATGATGGCGGCACCGCCCACCTGTCCGTGGTTGCAGAAGATGGCAGCGCTGTATCGGCCACCAGCACCATCAACCTCTAGTAAGGGCTGCCAGGAGGCCTGGGTGGGCCAGGGGCTACCCTCATGCCCCAGAAGCGGGGCTTCATTAACCCCTTTCATGGTGGGAAACTGAGACCTGCCTTGGTAGAGCACTTGCCTGGGACCTGAAGGGTAGAGGTTGGAGCTTTGGTGGGTGGGGCAGGCAGGGCTGGGCAGTACCCAGCTGTCTGACTCAGCTGGTCTGCAGCTTCGGTTCCAAGGTGCTATCGCAGGTCAGCGGGATCTTGTTCAATGATGAGATGGACGACTTCAGTTCCCCCAACATCACCAACCAGTTTGGGGTGCCCCCCTCACCGGCCAACTTCATCAAGCCAGGTGTGTGGTGAGGGGCTTGGGCGGGGAGGGGTTGGTGTCCTGGGTAGGCAGCTGACCAGCATCTCTGTCCCCTACGCCCACTGACTTCAGGGAAGCAGCCACTCTCATCCATGTGCCCAGCGATAATTGTGGACCGGGACGGCAAGGTCTCCATGGTGGTGGGTGCCTCTGGGGGCACACAGATCACCACAGCCACCGCGTTGGTATGTACCACCCACCTATCTCCTCAGCCCCTGTCCCTGAACCATGCTGACCCCATCCCCCCACCCCCCACCAGGCCATTATTCACAGCCTGTGGTTCGGCTATGATGTGAAGAGAACGGTGGAGGAGCCCCGGCTGCACAACCAACTTCTGCCCAACACTACAACACTGGAAAAAGACATGGACCAGGTAGGGTGGAGGTGGGGGAACAGTCACAGTGTGTGTG